TCCCCCTTTCCTATGTGATTCTGACTCTGTACCCTGTCACTGCTCCCCTTTCCCAATGTGATTGTCTCAGTAACCTGTCACTGCTCCCCTTTCCTATGTGATTCTGTCTCTGTAGCCTGTCACTGCTCCCCTTTCTTATGTGATTGTGCCTCTGTAGCCTGTCACTGCTCCCCTTTCCTATGTGATTGTGCCTCTGTAGCCTGTCACTGCTCCCCTTTCCTATGTGATTGTGCCTCTGTAGCCTGTCACTGCTCCCCTTTCTTATGTGATTGTGCCTCTGTAGAATGTCACTGCTTCCCTTTCCTTAGTGATTCTGTCTCTGTAGCCTGTCACTGCTCCCCTTTCTTATGTGATTGTGTCTCTGTAGCCTGTCACTGCTCCCCTCTCCTATGTGACTGTCTTTCCGTAACCTGTCACTGCTCCCCTTTCCTATGTGATTGTGCCTCTGTAGCCTGTCACTGCTTCCCTTTCCTATGTGATCGTGCCTCTGTAGCCTGTCACTGCTCCCCTCTTCTATGTGATTGTGTCTTTGTAGCCTATCACTGCTCCCCTCTCCTATGTGACTGTCTTTCTGTAACCTGTCACTGCTCCCCATTCCTATGTGATTGTGCCTCTGTAGCCTGACACTGCTCCCCATTCCTATGTGATTGTGCCTCTGTAGCCTGTCACTGCTCCCCATTCCTATGTGATTGTGCCTCTGTAGCCTATCACTGCTCCCCTCTCCTATGTGACTGTCTTTCTGTAGCCTGTCACTGCTCCCCTCCCTATGTGTCTGTGTCTCTGTAGCCTGTCACCACTGCTCCCCTCCCTATGTGTCTGTGTCTCTGTAGCCTGTCACTGCTCCCCTCCCTATGTGTCTGTGTTTCTGTAGCCTGTCACTGCTCCCCTCTCTTATGTGTCTGTGTTTCTGTAGCCTGTCACTGCTTCCCTCCCTTTGTGATTGTGCCTCTGTAACCTGTCACTGCTCCCCTCTCCTATGTGTCTGTGTCTCTGTAGCCTATCACTGCTCCCCTCTCCTATGTGGCTGTGTAGCTCTGTAGCCTCTGTAGCCTCACTGCTCCCCTCTCCTATGTGTCTGTGTTTCTGTAGCCTGTCACTGCTTCCCTCTCTATGTGATTGTGTCTCTGTAGCCTGTCACTGCTCCCCTCTTCCTATGTGATCTGTGTTTCTGTAGCCTGTCACTGCTCCCCTCTTCCTATGTGATTGTGTTTCTGTAGCCTGTCACTGCTCCCCTCTCCTATGTGATGTCTTTCTGTAACCTGTCACTGCTTCCCTTTCTTATGTGATTGTGCCTCTGTAGCCTGTCACTGCTCCCCTTTCCTATATGTGATTGTGTCTCTGTAGCCTGTCACTGCTCCCCTCTTCTATGTGATTGTGTCTCTCACTGCTCCCCTGTCCTATGTGACTGTCTTTCTGTAGCCTGTCACTGCTCCCTCCCTATGTGTCTGTGTCTCTGTAGCCTGTCACCACTGCTCCGCTCCCTATGTGTCTGTGTTTCTGTAGCCTGTCACTGCTCCCCTCCCTATGTGTCTGTGTTTCTGTACCTTGTCACTGCTCCCCTCTCCTAAATGACTAGCTGCTGACAACCTGCCATTGCATTGCATGGGCTCAGCAGCCATAGCTATTCACATGCATCTGTTAATTGCAGCCGTAGGAATCTGCAGATTCTGTCCACTTGATATCACAGCCTGGATAATTATCATACTTTCTGAGTTTAGCAAAAAAAATTGTGCTTTAGGCCAAAGTGTAAATGCTAGTGACATTTGAATTCAATAAATTGCTCCTTATTTGCGATTGTCAGTACCACTGAGTACCAACAATTGTTTCTATAAAACATCCTTCTCTGAAAACTGTTAGCATTAGTCATGTTGCCTTTATGATGTGTCAGATCAGGGTGGGGAATTAATGAGGCTTTCTAGTCTTCAACATGTTATTGGCTGCCCAGGTAGATGACGCTGGGTAATACCAGGTGACGTTATGTGGGGTGACTCTTATCAGCTCTAGGAATTCTGTTATTGCTGATGGGATTGATAAGTACATTTTTTCCTCTGTGGATACAGCTTCCTCACACACAATCGACAGCTTATCTGTTGCACAATTGTTTTACACTCAACGTAGCTGTCAGTGAACACAGAAATTTGACATTGTGGATTCCATAAGATCCATTCTAGCCAGCCTCTGATATTAGATGAATTCTTAAGGAAACCTGTAAAAAGGATGGCATTATTGAATGCACAGGCCAGGAAAAACTACTAGGCTTCATTCCCATGGGTTGTACTATACCATACACCCGTGCAGAGGCCATTTTTCCCACGCTGGGATGCACAGATGTTCCATGCAACCCTGTACAAGGAGTCTATCACGACACAGGGGCTGCACAGACAATATGACATCCGTGTGGGTGCGAGTGTGTGTGTTCCGGAATGCAGATAGTATGAGTTCAGGGACATGACCTACATCTAAACGGATGTCAAATTGGGAGTAGCAGCTGTGTCCCAGTAGACATCAATGGGACTGCCATGTATGGGGATGCACAGAACACCGGTGCATCCCTGTGTTGGTAAAGGAGTAGGAAGCGGATCCCTTTGATAACATGTGTGTGCACGAAACGTGTCAGATGAGGAGCCTACGTGCTGCAGTCACGCCGTTGTGTCCATATGATGGTCAGCGGCCATCTTTGTAAGTGGATTACATTAGTTTTTATGCTCCACGTGGATGAGCTTCTTTATATGTTAATAAAATTTACTGCACCATAAGCGGTTTCTTTTTGGCTCTTTTGTGAATTGTTTCCTTCAAGGTTGGGTCATTTTGCTGCCAACAATCGAGCCACCTTTTGGGGGAACCAAAACTGTCTTTGTTTTTAAAGCTGTGCATACCTTTTACCTGTACCTGGCAGTGGATAAGGCTGACCTGCATGTCAGGGCTCACTGGGTCATGACCAGAGGTATGTGACTGACGCAGGGAAACGCAGGCTTCAGATATGTTATATACAATACGATTTATTAACACTAACAATACATAAATGCAGTGCAATACTAAAACATAACACAGTGCAAACAAAACCAAACCAAACCACCCACAGATACACAGTACATACAATGCAAACGTCGTCAGGCAGGCCGGGTCAATAACAAACGGGCAGGTAGGAACAGGAGGAGCAGGCAGAGAGTAGTCAGGTCACGAGCCGGGTACAAGCAACTAACAGGCAGGTAGGTACAGGGGGTCAGGCAGAGAATGGATCGGGGTCACAAGTCAGGGATCAGCAGGAGAAGTCAGCAGAGGTCAGGATCAAACAGGGTCAGCAACAAGACAGGAACAGGAACAGGAACGCAAGGAACAAGTATACAGGGCCCAGGAGGAAAAACACACACCAAGGCAGAGTCTGCAGTCTGGCCATCCCTTAAATACACTAGCATAAGCAGTTTCAGGTGTTTGACTGGCTGCAAGGTTGAGTCTCTGATTGCTGGGAGCACCCGCTGGCCCCCTGGTACTGCAGCCCATAAGGCAGGTGAGTCCCACCATTGCTGGCCAGTCCATTCCTGACAGTACCAGACCCCCCCCCCCCTCAAGGAGCAGCCTCAGGACGCTCCAAAACAGTCCTAGCTGGGCAAAATGCTCCACCGCCCGGGTCTGGTAACTGGCGGGATATCAAAGACTGGCACACCCCAGGCAGGACTCCGGGCAGCGGCACACACGGGCAGGACTCCGGGCAGCGGCACATCGGGCAGCGGCACACCGGGCAGAGGCACATCGGGCAGCGGGCACTCCGGGCAGCGACACTCGACTCCGAGCAGCGGCACTCCGGGCTGGACTCTCGGGCAGCGGCAGCATCGGGCTGGACTCCAGGCAGAGGCACATCGGGCTGGACTCCGGCAGAGGCACATCGGATCACCAGGCGAAGCAGCAGGCAGCAGGGCCCCCAGGCGGGGCGGTCTCACGGGCATCGGGCCCCCAGGCGGGGCGACGGGCGCCGGACCCCCAGGCGGAGCGACAGGTCTCGGCCCCCAGGCGGAGCGACAGGTCTCGGGCCCCCAGGCGGAGCGACAGGTCTCTCGGGGTCCCAGGAGGAGCGGCGGGCGCCGGACCCCCAGGCGGAGCGACAGGTCTCGGGCCCCCAGGCGGAGCGGGCGGGCGCCGGACCCCCAGGCGAGCGACAGGTCTCAGGGCCCCCCAGGCGGAGCGACAGGTCCCAGGCCCCCAGGCGGAGCGACAGGTCTCAGGCCCCCAGGCGGAGCAACAGGTCTCGGGCCCCCAGGAGGAGCGACAGGTCTCAGGCCCCCAGGCGGAGCGACAGGTCTCAGGCCCCCAGGCGGAGGGGCGGGCGCCGGACCCCCAGGCGGAGCGACAGGTCTCGGGCCCCCAGGCGAAGACGGCGGAGCGGCGGGCGCCGGACCCCCGAGGCGGAGCGACAGGTCTCGGGCCCCCAGGCGGAGCGACAGGTCTCGGGCCCAGGCCAGGCGGCGGCGGGCACCGAGTCACCAGGCACGACAGTGGGCTCCGAGTCAACTGGCATGACCGCTGGCACTGGGTCAGACATTGGATCGTCTGGCTGGACAGCGGGCATCGGGTCACCAGGCATCAGGTCATTTGGCTCGACAGCGGGCACTGCGTCATCTGGCAAGGCAGTGGGCTCCGAGTCAACTGGCATGACCGCGGGGCACTGGGTCAGACATTGGATCGTCTGGCTGGACAGCGGGCATCGGGGTCACCAGGCATCAGGTCATTTGGCTCGACAGCGGGGGAGCACCGCGTCATCTGGCAAGGCAGTGGGCTCCGAGTCAACTGGCATGACCGCGGGCACTGGGTCAGACATTGGATCGTCTGGCTGGACAGCGGGCATCGGGTCACCAGGCATCAGGTCATTTGGCTCGACAGCGGGCACCGCGTCATCTGGCAAGGCAGTGGGCTCCAAGTCAACTGGCATGACCGCGGGCACTGGGTCAGACATTGGATCGTCTGGCTGGACAGCGGGCATTGGGTCACCAGGCATCAGGTCATTTGGCTCGACAGCGGGCACCGCGTCATCTGGCAAGGCAGTGGGCACCAAGTCACCAGGCACGACAGTGGGCTCTGAGTCAATTGGCACGACAGCGGGCACCGGGTCATCAGGTACCGGATTGTCTGGCTCGACAGCGGGCATCGGGTCACCAGGTATGACAGCGGGCACTGGGTCACCAGGCATCAGGTCATTTGGCTTGCCAGCGGGCACCGCGTCATCTGGCAAGGCAGTGGGCACTGAGTCACCAGGGACGACAGCGGGCTCTGAGTCAATTGGCACGACAGCGGGCACCGGATCAGGTACCGGATCGTCTGGCTCGACAGCAGGCACCGGGTCATCTGGCGCTGGATCGTCTGGCTCGACAGCGGGCATCGGGTCACCAGGCATGACAGCGGGCACCGGGTCATCAGGTACCGGATCGTCTGGATCAACAGCGGGCATCGAGTCAACTGGCCTAATAGGATCATCAGGCTGGATCAGTTCATCAGGCTGGGTGGAAGCATCATGCTGGGTAGAGGCATCAGGCTGAGTGGAGGCATCAGCTGAGTAGAGGCATCAGGCTGAGTAGAGGCATCAGGCTGGGTACAGGCATCAGGCTGTGGTACAGGCATCAGGCTGAGTAGAGGCATCAGGCTGGGTACAGGCATCAGGCTGGGTACAGGCATCAGGTTGAGTAGAGGCATCAGGCTGAGTAGAGGCATCAGGCTGAGTCACGGAAGGCCGGTTCTCAGATGGCAGGCTCACCGGTTTGGATACTGGCAGGATGGTATTGGTTGGAAAGAATTTTCGCTTTTTTCTGGTTTTAACTACTGGAGCACTGCAAGTAAACGCAGGTCTGCAAACGAATGGAGCAGCTGGAGACAGAGAAGAGCTGGAGGATGGAACAGAGGAGGGAACAGTTGCTACAGAGGGCTTTTTTACAGGTTTAAAGGCAGGATAGGTGCAGCGAGTGGGAACATGGGTACTGACACGCGGTAGATAGCAGGGCAGGAGGAGCTGTTGGGAATGCAGGAATAGAGTTTGAGGAAATAGATTAGAAGCAGGACTGGTTTTTGCAAGCTGACTGAGGCTGGGTGCAACAAATCTGTCCATGTCTGCAGTATGGTTGAACAAAGCTGAGCTTACACAAAGCCTGTCTGGTCAATGACTGCACTGCGTTTATACAATCTCTTAGTATCTGTGGTGAACATGCAGAATAACGCTCCAGAAAGTAACCCACATCATCCTCTAATAACCACACCAGGGACTCTACCTGGTCGGCACTAAATGGTGGCAAAAATCATCCCTGCATTCGGGGTACCAGATGATACCAACTCCGCACAAACCTGAATCAATGGCTGCACCTCAGAGAATTCTGTGCCCTGATCTACTAGAACATGAGCGAGCCGTATACATTCTAGCAGTTGATCCCTGGGATACTCCTTCAGAGTCTGATAAGCATACTCTCTGTCATCAAACACTAGCAGATATATAAATACACAACCTCATCAAGATCCATCCTTCCCATCAACAAACCAAGATGGCTTCCCTGTGCAGCCACTTCTGGTCAGGATTGGCATTGGTGTAATGTCAGGGCTCCTGGGTATGACCAGAGGTATGTGACTGACGCAGGGAAACACAGGCTTCAGATATGTTATAAACAATACGATTTATTAACACTAACAATACATAAACGCAGTGCAATACTAAAACATAACACAGTGCAAACAACCAAACCAAACCACCCACAGATAACAGTACATACAATGCAAGCGTCGTCAGGCAGGCCGGGTCAATAACAAACGGGCAGGTAGGAACAGGAGGAGAGCAGGCAGAGAGTAGTCAGGTCACGAGCCGGGTACAGCAACTAACAGGCAGGTAGGTACAGGGGGTCAGGCAGAGAATGGTCGGGGTCACAAGCCAGGGATCAGAACAGGAGAAGTCAGCAGAGGTCAGGATCAAACAGGGTCAGCAACAAGACAGGAACAGGAACAGGAATGAATGCAGAACAAGATACAGGGCCCAGGAAAACCACACACCAAGGCAGAGTCTGCAGGTCTGGCCATCCCTTAAATACACCAGCATAAGCAGTTTCAGGTGTTTGACTGGCTGCAAGGTTGAGTCTCTGATTGCTGGGAGCACCCGCTGGCCAGCCCTGGTACTGCAGCCCATAAGGCAGGTGAGTCCCACCATTGCTGGCCAGTCCATTCCTGACACCTGCTTTTTGTTTTTCTATTATGAATGCACATTCATTCCATGTTTCTGGTGAGTGCATGAGGAGGAAGAATTGTCATGGATTCACTCATCACTTGATGTTGCGTTTATTTACAAATTTTGGACACTATACATAAGAGATTGATCGTTCAATTTTACCACTCTTAACTGCCCCCCTTAAGCTGCAGAGACAACTGGAATGGACTGTACTTCTGCTGGCAAAAATTATTTCCCCCCTTTCATGTTCAGGGGCAGATCACCACCAAACACAACATGGACCCAAGCTGCAACAGGCTTGCAGTTACGGAGCAGTATTCCCATTCAAAAAGCCCATTCAGCTGTCTAAAAGAAAAAAGAAGCATTCTGGAGACAGCCTCTTGAATGTTTGTCAGCCATGCCTGCCGTGTGTGTGAAAAGTGATCCACTGCGGATTGCACTTCATACAGCGACATGTATGGTAAAGAGCCTTTGTGTTGTCTACAGTCCAGTAAAAAAGTGGGTTTCCTTTATTTTTATGGTGACTGTTTTTTTGTCATCAAAATGTCTTTTTCCCATGATATACTGATAGCTACCATTTTTCATGTAGGTTGAATGAGGTATAGCAATGGCATACATTTTTCCTAAACATTACCCCACTTTTCATATCAGGAAATTGGAAGATAGAATTTACTGGACTGTCCAAACTGTTCCCAGAGCCTGGGACTTTACAAGCAGCCCCGCACTCCTGGACACACCCAGGCTAAAAATGGGGGTACCTACCTGCATCTGTTAACATTTCAGGGGATGACAGACATAGTTTGGTGGGACTGTGGATTGGACACTCATGGGCTGGGCTGAGCTCGGTGGTGATGCAAGTGGTTTGGCCAGAACTGCAGGTGCGACTTGACTTTCTGGGGTTGGTTGTAATACAAACAGGACAACATCAGCTGGAGGAGGAGAGGCACATGTCACCTTGGTGATTGGGTAGTTCACAACCCCCATCCCCATCCAGGGGCAACAAGCTCCCCCTTCCACCGAGATCCACCCTCTCTATAGCACACTAGTGATTTTCGAACCTCCTATCTGGCCAATTCCACTCCAACCTCTATAGCTAATTCCTCCTCCTCCTATTTTTATCAATTTTGAGAGTTTCGAGTTCAACTATTATTGGCACCATATGGAACATACAGTTGCAAGAAAAAGTATGTGAACCCCTTGGGATTACGTGGAGTTTTGCATGAATTGGGCATAAAATGTGCTCTGAACGTCATCTAAGCCACAACAATAGAAGAACACAGTCTGCTGAACGTAATACTACACAAACATTAGATGTTGCCATGGTTTAATTTGCACATAACATGTAAACATTCACAGTGCAGAGAGGAAAAAGTATGTGAACCTTTGGACTTAATAACTGGTTGACCCTCCTTTGGCAGCAATAACCTCAACCAGACGTTTCCTGTAGTTGCAGATCAGACCTGCACAACGATCTGGAGTAATTTTGGACCACTCCTCTTCACAAAACTGTTTCAGTGTAGCAATATTCTTGGGATGTCTGGTGTGAATTGCTCTCTTAAGGTCATGCCACAGCATTTCAATCAGGTTGAGGTCAGGACTCTGACTGGGCCACTCCAGAAGGCGTATTCTGTGCTGTTGCAGCCATTGTTTTGTTGAATTACTTGTATGCTTTGGGTTATTGTCCTGTTGCATCACCCATCCTCTGCGGAGCTTCAGTTGGCGGACAGATGGTGGTACGTTTTTCCTGCAAAATGTCTTGATAAACTCTGGAATTCATTTTCCCATCAATGACAACAATCCGTCCAGGCCCTGAGGCAGCAAAGCAGCCCCAAACCATGATGCTCCCTCCGCCATGTTTTACAGTGGGGATGAGGTTTTGATGTTGGTGTGCTGTGCCTTTTTTTCTCCACACATTGTTGTGTGTTCTTCCCAAACAACTCAATCCTGGTTTCATCTGTCCACAGTATATTTTGCCAGTAGTGCTGTGGAACATCCAGGTGCTCTTTTGCAAACTTCAAACGTGCTGCAATATTCTTTTTGGACAGCAATGGCTTCCTCCGTGGTGTCCTCCCATGTACTCCATTCTTGTTTAATGTTTTCCTTATTGTAGATGTGTCAACAAAAATGTTAGTATGTGCCAGAGATTTCTGTAGGTCTTTAGCTGACACTCTGGGATTCTTCTTTACCTCATGCAGCATTCTGCGCTGTGCTCTTGCAGTCATTTTTACAAGACGACCACGCCTAGGGAGAGTAGCAACAGTACTAAACTTTCTCCATTTGTAGACAGTCTGTCTTACCGTGGACACATGAACATCAAGGCTTTTGGAGATACTTTTGTAACCCTTTCCAGCTTCATGCAAGTCAACAATTCTTGATCGTAGGTCTTCTGAGAGCTCTTTTCTGCGAGGCATGGTTCACATCAGACAGTGCTTCTTGAAACCAGTAAACCCAAAACAGGTGTGTGTTTTTTAAGGGCAGGACAGCTGTCAGCAACACATCCAATATCATCACACTGATTGGAGTCAAGGTTGGCTCACTCCTGGCTCCAATTAGCTCTGGGAGAAGTCATTAAGCTAGGGCCTCACATACTTTTTCCTCCCTGCACTGTGAATGTTTACATGTTATGTGCAATTAAACCATGGCAGCATCTAATGTTTGTGTAGTATTATGTTTCAGCAGACTGTGTTCTTCTATTGTTGTGACTTAGATGACGTTCAGAGCACATATTATGCCCAATTCATCCAAAACTCCACGTAATCCCAAGGGGTTCACATACTTTTTCTTGCAACTGTATATATAATTTTTTTCATCGCTTTTATTGTTTCATCTTAATATTTTTATATTATATTTTTAGAATGGTTATTTTATCTATTCTGTATTGCCTCTTGTATTCATTATTTTTATTCATTTTTATTTAATTCTGCTATTAAATTTGGGTATTTTATTTTATATTTTTTTATATGTAATGTATGCTGCTATGCTTTCATGACTGACCATGTGGATTTTTCTGGACCATTTTTATATAGATATTTATGAACATTTTAACAATTGTATTTCCTATGAATATTCTTATTACAGTGTTTACCAGTTGTTTTACTTTATATTTAACATCCTTACCTTGATGTCATCACTGGATATATTCAATCATAATGTTCTTAGACAACTTTTACACATATAGTATTAGGGGATCAAATTGTAACGATCCGTTTGTATATGTGTATGGGGTGGTTTCTTTGCTGCATGATTTGCGGTACCTAAAAGTATTAAGCGGGTGCATAACAATAAGGGCACTATTTATGCAGTTTTCTCTACCCCCCCTTTGATAATGGTTTGAATAGGATACTTTTCCTACCTATCCTGAAGCTGGATTTCATGGTTTACAGCTAACCTCTCTTATCTGGTAAACAGTATCAGTTGCTGGCGTCTAAAAC